AGAGTTGCATTTCATACTCGTCCCCCACATAGAAGAAAGCATGCTTTAGATCTTGTTCATACTGATGTTTGCTCTATGGATGCTAGATCACACCGTGGTGCACAATATTTTGTGACTTTTATTGATGATTTTTCTAGAAAAGTGTGGGCTTTTGTTTTGAAACATAAAGATCAGGTACTTGAAGCTTTTAAGGAGTTTCATGCCAAAGTTGAAAGAGAAAGTGGCAGAAAGCTCAAGTGTGTCAGATCAGATAATGGTGGTGAGTACAGAGGTCCATTTGAGAACTATTGCAAAAGTCAAGGCATCAAGCTTGAGAAGACAGTTCCGAAGACACCTCAGCTTAATGGAGTTGCAGAAAGAATGAACAGAACAATTGAAGAGAGAATCAGGTGTATGCTATCTCATGCTAAGCTGCCAAAGTCCTTTTGGGCAGAGGCAATGTTCACTGCAGTGTACCTGATTAACCTTTCCCCTTCAGTTCCTCTTGAAGGTGATGTTCCTCAGAGAGTTTGGTCAGGGAAAGAGGTCTCCTATAAGCATTTGAGAGTCTTTGGTTGCAGAGCATTTGTTCATATTCCCAGAGATGAGAGATCCAAGCTTGATAAGAAGACCAAAGAGTGCATATTTTTGGGGTATTCAGAGGATGAGTTTGGGTACAGACTATGGGATCCACGTGATAAGAAAGTGATCAGAAGCAGAGATGTGGTTTTCTTTGAAGATCAGACTATTGAAGATTGTGAGAAGAAGCAGGCAAATCCTTCTCCATGCATCACAGTTGATCCAATTCCATCTCTTCCTCCTGTTGTAGTCCCTCAAGATCATGGGGGAGATATGCATGATCATACAGTTGAGTCCCCTGCAGATGACCATCATGATGATGGTGGTGATGGTGTTCCAGAGTCACAACCACACTCACACTCAGAGCCGCCTCGAGCACCTCAGTTGAGAAGATCCACCAGAGTCAGAAAACCTTCCACGAGACTTTCGGAGGATGATTTTGTGTTAGTCACTGATGGAGGAGAGCCAGAGACATATGATGAGGCTATGTCACATGTGCACCGCGAGAAGTGGTACGATGCCATGCAAGATGAGATGACGTCCTTGCATGAGAACCGCACATATGAGCTTGTAGAGTTGCCTAAAGGCCAGAGAGCACTCAAGAATAAGTGGGTATACAGATTGAAGTGTGATGAGAGTAGCTCACAACCAAGGTACAAGGCAAGATTGGTTGTGAAGGGTTTCAGTCAGAAGAAGGGCATAGATTTTGATGAGATATTTTCTCTAGTTGTGAAGATGACGTCTATTCGAGTTATACTTGGCTTAACTGCGAGCATGGATTTGGAGATTGAGCAACTTGATGTGAAGACAGCATTTCTTCATGGTGATCTTGATAAGGAAATCTACATGGAGCAACCTGAAGGCTTCCAGGTTAAGGGAAAGGAGAACTTAGTTTGCCGTTTGAAGAAAAGTTTGTATGGTCTGAAGCAAGCACCTCGGCAGTGGTATAAGAAGTTTGAGTCTTTTATGGTTGATCATGGCTTCCACAAAACACACGCTGATCATTGTGTGTTTGTGAAGAATTACTCCGAAGGTGACTTTCTTATTCTCCTTTTATATGTAGATGATATGTTGATTGTTGGACAGGACACCAAGAAGATTGCTAGCTTGAAGAAGTCATTGAGTAAGTCCTTTGCAATGAAGGACTTAGGCCCTGCTAAAGAGATTTTAGCCATGAGGATCACGCGGGATAGAAAGAACAAGAAACTTTGGCTATCCCAAGAGAGATACATTGAGAAGGTGCTTGGTAGATTCAACATGAGCAATGCTAAACCCGTGAGCTCTCCACTTGCAGGACACATGAAGTTGAGTATGGACCATTGCCCTACAAGTGAGAAAGAAAAGCAAGAGATGAACAAGGTGCCTTATGCTTCA